CTTTGTAGCTTCGGTGTTTAGTTCAGTGCCTGGCACATAGTTTTATAGATTCCGTTTCTCTCTCATTGTTCCTTTTTGCCTTTGAGAACTCTCTTTGTTATTGTGCTTTTCCCTGTTGGTCTTTGTTCTTCTGAGTCCGTCCCTGTCCCCTCACCTCAGCCCAGCCTGGATGCAGGCCCCTTCCTCGGTGCGTTTCTCCCATAGACTGTGTACAGTGCCCTGGGCCTGAGGGATGCCTGCCGCTCCCTGCCCCAGTCCATCCAGCTCTTTCGGGACATTGCTCAAGAGTTCTCTGATGACCTGCACCACATCGCCAGCCTCATCGGGAAGGTGGTGAGTGGAAGGAAAGAGGCAGCGCACCTGGGGAGGTTGGGACTAGAGCGGAGAGGGACTTGGGCCAGGTTCTCCACGGGGAAGGCAGCGTGGGAGAAGGGGAAGCATGGGAGATGCTGAGGTCAGTTGGGTGGCTAAAGAATGCGATGATGAGAGAAGGTGGCAGAACTTCAGGGAAGTGCCTGGAGGGTGAGGGTAAAGCAGGACTGCAGGGAGAATTGGGGCCCAAGGAGAGCTGAGGAACAGGACAGAGTGGAAGGGCTGGCTGCTGGGAAACTGGACTTCTTATCTCCTCAGGTGGACTTTGAGGGCAGTCTTGCTGAAAATCGCTTCACAGTCCTCCCCAACATAGATCCCGAAATTGACGAGAGTGAGTGTTGGGTGTGCGGATGGCCTGGGAGCCCTGGAACAGGAGCCTGCGCAGTGATGGGGCACCATCCTTGGCAGGCAGTCACCACAGCTGGGGATCGTTACAGCAACCAGGCAGGAACCTCACTTTTGATATCCGTATCTCTTCCACCCTCCTAGAAAAGCGAAGGCTGATGGGACTTCCCAGTTTCCTCACTGAGGTCGCCTGGAAGGAGCTGGAAAATCTGGACTCTCGTATTCCTTCATGCAGTGTCATCTACATCCCTCTGGTGAGGGCAGGAGAGTGGGTGTAGCCTCCGGGAGAGGGTCTTTTAGGGGAGATATTAGGGCTATGAGGGATATATTGGTAGGTAAGAAAACTTAGAGGAGGCTGAAGAACATGAACACCTTTTGGTGGGGACACAGGGGTCTCTGGGCTTCCTCTACAGAGAGAAGGTGCCCAGTATGTCTCCTTGTAGGAGAGTAGAGTATTTCTTCACTCTCCCCAGATCGGCTTCCTTCTTTCTGTTCCCCGCCTGCCTTCCATGGTAGAGGCCAGTGACTTTGAGATTGAGGGACTGGACTTCATGGTAAGACCCTTGACCTCTATAGGGAGGGGATAAGGAAAATGCATCAGCAGCTGAGGAAGGGCCTTACGCTATTAGCGCTGCCCAATGTGGGATCTCTCTGTAGTTTTCTCTGAGCTTTCTAGCTCTGAGACAAAGGAGAGAGAAATCAGGGTGGGGGCTGGAGGTGGGGTTAGTCAGGTGAGAGAGGAGAGGAGGACCAAGAGACACAAAGCCCACGGCTTTGACCCCTTCTACCCAGTTTCTCTCAGAGGAGAAGCTGCACTATCGTAGTGCTCGAACCAAGGAGCTGGATACATTGCTGGGGGACCTGCACTGCGAGATCCGGGGTGAGGAGAGGCCAGAGGCCGGAGGGAGTGAACAGCTCGCCGATGCTTCTTTTGCTGCTCTCTGTCTCTCTCGCTCTGACTCTGCATCTTTTCAGCTGAATGTCTCTGGGGGTCTCAGACAGTATCTGCACACCTGTTTCTAGGTCCCTCTGGGGACCTCCGTCTCTCCTTCACTTTCCCCTGGAGCTGACCCCTCCCTCACCCACCTGCAGACCAGGAGACCCTGTTGATGTACCAGCTACAGTGCCAGGTGCTGGCGCGGGCAGCTGTCTTGACCCGAGTATTGGACCTTGCCTCCCGCCTGGATGTTCTGCTGGCTCTTGCCAGTGCTGCCCGGGATTATGGCTACTCAAGACCCCGTTACTCCCCCCAGCTTCTTGGGGTACGAATCCAGAATGGCAGGTGAGAATAGAAGGGGGTGGAGCACAGACACGAGGGGCCCAAAGGCCCCATCTTCTGGGGTTCATCTATCTGGATCTACGGGCTATGTAAAGTGCCTCTCCACCCACTGCAGACATCCACTGATGGAACTCTGTGCCCGAACCTTCGTGCCCAACTCTGCAGAATGCAGTGGGAACAAAGGGAGGGTCAAAGTCATCACTGGACCCAACTCCTCCGGAAAGAGCATATACCTCAAACAGGTGGGAAGCCCTACAGCCTGGGCCCCTGTCATCTTCTCCGTCTTCTTCACCCCTACCTGCTGGCCAACCCAGGCCCCTACAGCTCTCCTCCCCTGTGTTCTGGCCCCACCTGTCATGAAAAGACCACCAGGCACACCCCGGCTCTCCCCCCTCACATACTCTCATTCTCTACTGAGGGAGAGCCATGCTCTCATGAATCTTTCCATGGCTTGAATTCCCTGCACCCACCTCTGAACAGGTACATGCCATCCCCCAGTGTGCCTCTGCCCACTCCCCTGGGCCTCCTCACTGACTCTAAATGAGGCGCTATGATCAGGCTTGGGGGAGGAGAGGGACAGTGTGCTCTATATCCGTCTCTCTTTGATCTATCACTCATGCCCTCAGCTGAGCCTCACTTTCACCTCAGCCCACAGCACCAGGCCCCAGCTCTGTCTCCTCCCCTATTCAGGTGGGCTTGATCACATTCATGGCCCTCGTGGGCAGCTTTGTGCCAGCAGAGGAGGCCGAAATTGGGGCAGTAAACTCCATCTTCACCCGAATTCATAGCTGCGAATCTATCTCCCTGGGCCTCTCCACCTTCATGATCGACCTCAACCAGGTCAACGGGAGAAAGGGAGGTGGGACTCGGGGAGGGGATAATGAGGAAGGAATCCCTGAAGATGCTCAGAATGGGAATGCAGTCCCTCTGCTGTGTGCCCCTATACTGGGGCAGGGAGCACCCAGGTCAGAGATGGGAGGAATCAGTTCCACAAAACTTTCCTGAACCCTTGCTTCTTGCGGGGCACTGTTGGCAGTGAAAGGATGAACAATCACGCACCTCACCACGGAGAACTCGCAGTGCAGGAGGGCGGGCTTTGTTCCTAGGCAGACTGTGGTCAGTGCATCACAGAACTCAAATACTAACGAAACTTTCCCCTGTCGACCTCCCGCCCAGCAGGTGGCAAAGGCAGTGAACAATGCCACTGCGCAGTCTCTGGTCCTCATTGATGAATTTGGGAAGGGAACCAATACGGTGAGGGGAGAAGCTGATGAGGAAATGAGGAGGGAAAATGGAGGAGGATGGAGGGGGAGGGGGAGGCTGGGCCCTGGGAAAAGAATAGGGATGTGTGGGCAGAAAAGAAACAAGAGAGCACGAGGAAGGGAAAGGCCAGGGCAGGTGCAGGGGGCACGCAGGGTCCCCACAGCTCTGCACCTTCACCGGTGTCCTCTGTGCAGGTGGATGGGCTCGCACTTCTGGCCGCTGTGCTCCGACACTGGCTGGCGCTTGGACCCATGTGTCCCCACATCTTTGTGGCCACCAACTTTCTGAGCCTTGTTCAGCTACAGCTGCTGCCACAAGGGCCCCTGGTGCAGTATTTGGTGAGGAAACCAATCCCGCCCCCAGGAGTCCCTAGGCTGAGTGTTTCCCAGGGGGGCATCGGCTTCTTTATCAGAACAGCAGTTCCCTGAGCACAGAGACCACATGCCTTCCCTATTCGCACTCCCCACAAGGACTGGCCAAGGGTTTCAGGGCAGGAATCAGGTGATTGAGGACACACTATCCCCTTTTATTCTCTTTTAAGACCATGGAGACCTGTGAGGATGGGAACGACCTGGTCTTCCTCTATCAGGTTTGCGAAGGTGTTGCCAACGCCAGCCATGCCTCCTACACAGCTGCCCAGGCTGGGCTTCCTGAAAAACTCATTGCTCGTGGCAAGGAGGTGACGATATCTGAATGTCCGTCCGCCCCCACCTCAGGGCTCCCTTCCACTGGCCCTACTCCTCTTGGAGATCTCGGTTTCTAGACCCACAGGATTTCTGTTCCTTGTTTCCTCTTCTCTTTCCCAACACCCCACTGCCACCTCTTCCACCCTCCTTGTCATTCCTAGGTCTCAGACTTGATCCGCAGTGGAAAATCCATCGAGCCAGTCAAGGAGTTGCTAAAGGAGAACCAGATGAAAAAGTGAGTGTGTGGCCCCCGTGTCTTCACTCTCTTGAGCATCTTCTCCTGCAGCTCTATCCTCTTTCCCAGGGCTCAGCCAGCCTTCTCCAGCATTTTGCCCTTCAAAGACCCATTATTTCTCTCTGAAGCCCCTAAATCTTCAAGGTGCTGGGTTTCCTGTGCCACAGCCTCTTCCCTCTGCTCAGGGACTCGGTTATCCATTCTCCCATAAATATTGCTCTTCTCTCTCCCCTTCAGTTGCCAGGCTTTAGTGGATAAGTTTCTGAAACTGGATTTGGAAGACCCTAACCTGGATTTGGACATTTTCATGAGGCAGGAAGTGCTGCCTGCTGCCACCACCATCCTCTGAGAGTCCTTCCTCTGCCCTCCCCAACTCCCTGAGACCCCGGTGGGCTGCCATCCCTCTGTTTCCTTATCTCCTTCAGACCCAGAGTTCTTAGTTTCCCTAGAAATTTTGTTTCATATTAGGAATAAAGTTTATTTCAGAGAAAGGTATTGTTTCCTGAGGCCAGCCAAAACAAAACAAGAGAATAGGAAAGAGCTGAAACCCCAAGCAGGAGTCCACACAGGAACTTGCCCTGCCTCCTTAAAAATACAGAGACAGCTGTAGGGAGACCCTCAGATTCTACCCAAGGGGACTTTATGAGAACAAACCACTTAGAGAGGCCCTACAGAAACAGATTGGAGGGAAGACACGAGGGCCCAAGGGAGATGGTCTCTCCCCACAAGTAGGAACACCCCAGCCTCAGACACACACAGCAGGAAGGGCCCAGGGAGACCGAAAGACAAGGCGGGATGGGTGCAAGGCAGGGGTGGAGGGGGAGGTACCAGTCTGTCCTGCCCTAGTGGGAGTGGCTCCACCCTTCCCACGGCAGAGCCATGGGGAGCCAGGGTCCTGGTGGGCTGCCCCCGGTACAGGCTCCCTACACAGTTCTGCTGCTGCCGCTGGGGACAAGCCGCCAAGACCCAGGGGCCCAGACCTTCTTCCTCTGGGTGAGTATTACCCCAACAAGAGGTCCCAGAGAAAGCCCCTCTCCCTAGATCTGCCCTTTATATTTCCACTCAACTTGAGGACCCACAAAGTCTTCCTGCCTGCTCCCCCTTGCCCTCAGGTCCTCAGTGGCCAGTCTGGGCTTACACTCAGTGACCAGACAGGGAACCCAACCAGATGTGGAAAGAAAGGGCCATGGCCCAGAGCCCTGCTATGACATGAGAGTCAGCTTCTGCTTCTTGTCTTTCCCAGCTGCAGAGGATGCAGGCTCTGGAGAGAGAACAGGATGCCCTGTGGCAGGGGCTGGAGCTGCTAGAGCATGGCCAGGCCTGGTTTGAAGCCCGTCTGAGGGAGGCACAGCAACAGCAGCTGCATCTGGGGGCCCTTGGTGAGGTATGGGGCTGCCCCTCTGTGTGAATGGGGGGCAGGGGAGGGAGAGCAGGGCATGTGTGGACACAGCCTGAGACCCCTCTGGAGAGGGGAGAGTTAATGGGCAGGGATCGTGAATTGGAGGCAGCATCATAATGACAAGATGCCACTAAGCATTATGTTGGTGTTCATTGTTGGGGCTGGTGAGGCTGGTCTGCATTCCATTCAGAGGGATTCGATTTGGATCACTCCATAGAGATGAGGGCGTGGCCTGGATTATTCCAATGGAGCAGGGATGGGCAGGGAGGGTCCATAAAGAATAGGGAAAGGGGGAATTGTGCTGAGGGGGATGGAGAAACTGACATGTTAAAGAGATGGAGGGGAGGCTGGGTGGTGGCTCACGCCTGTAATCCTAGCAATCTGGGAGGCCGAGGCGGGAGGATTGCTCGAGTTCAGGAGTTCAAGACCAGCCTGAACAAGAGAGAGACCCCATCTCTACTAAAAATAGAAAAAATTAGCCAAGCGTGGTGGGGTGCGCCGAGAGTCCCAGCTACTTGGGAGTCTGAGGCAGGAGGATGGCTTCAGCCCAGGAGTTTGAGGTTGCAGTGAGCTACAATGATGTCACTGTACTCTAGCCTGGGTGACAGAGTCAGGCTCTTTCAAATAAATAGATAGATAGATAGAGATGGAGGGGAGAGTATCGGATTTCCCACCTGCCTGGGATGGTATTGGATGAGGGGATGCAAATGAGAAGGTGGTGACAGAAAAAGAGTGGCAGGTGGAGATCAGGTTTTCCCCATGTTGTCACCTCCAACTCCTCCTTTAGAATTTTCTAACAGATCCATACCCAGAGCCTGGTGGCCCCCAGTTAGCCCAGATTCAAAAGGTGAACATCTGTTTGCAGAATCTGATTCAGGGAGAGGTGAGTTTATCGTCTTCAGCTTAGACTTTTGGGAAGTGGGACTTTTGAGGGGAGTGTTGGGGTCAGCACTAGTTTAACAGAAAACACAGCGAATCTCCCCTCAGTTTTCCCCATGTCCGCTGAACAAGGCCAGTTCTTGTGCCCCCCAGGATTGGAAGGAAAGGCTATGGAAGCAGAATGTGTGGCAGCAACAGGTAAACTGTAAGGGGTGTGAGGGGAGGGCAGAAGCCCCCACCCCACAGGGCAGGGAGAGGCCCAGATGCCTAGTTCGTTTCTCTCCTCTTCTCCAGGAGTTGTCAAGGCAGCAGAAAGGAGTCACCCAGCCAAAGGGGAAGATGGCTCAGCTGGGCTGCCCCAAGGAACAAAGGGGCCCTACCCGTGTCTAAACCCTCCTCTCACTCCCCTTAGTCTGGTGAAGGAGCAGGCTGAGTCAAAACCCCCAGCCTCCTTATTCTGCTTCTTAACTCAGCAGCCAAATGGCTCCAGGTAGTGGGTCAATGAAGTTCAGACTTGGTGTAAATTCTCTCCTCTGCTCCTGAAAACTTCCATTTCATCTTCTTGGTGTGGCATGCCCTATCTCTGCCCTATATGATGTGCAAAAATGATCTGTCTTTGAAATCCCTCTGGGTAGAAGACAAGTTTATTGAAACTGTTCTTTAGCCTTAAATATAAAAATAAAACAGAAACTTTTCCAGAATTTAACATAAAAACAATCTATAAATAACATTTTCTGGTATCTTCCTACCCCACTCCCAATGCTCGTCTCCTCCCCAGGTATCTTCCCCTCTACCTGAGCCTGGGAGAGCATGAATAGTTAGTAGAATAAAGATGCTACAGAGAAACCGAAAGTAACTTTTAACAAAAATTCCTTTGGTTTGTTTCCCATAGGATTAGGGAAAATGCACTGTGGGAAAATCCTCTGCCCTCTATCCCCATCTCGCAGTTTTTAAGAAAGAGAAGGGACAAGTGCATGAGAAGGAACATCTCTCCAGCTAGGAGAGATAAAGCCCAAGGCCCCTGTGACCTTCTTACTGATGGGTCCGATTGAAAACAGTGCTGGAGACCCATCCCCCTAGGGGCTGTTGTGTCACCAAGATGCCAGGCCTAGCAGGAGCAGCCCCCCTCCAACTGTGCCCCACCAGGGGTTGCCAGCCATATCCCCACCAGCCCTGCCCTGAGTCACCAAAGTGAAAGGACAAAAGACTGGGGTGGGCGTGGTGACAGGGGCAGCAAGCTGGTCCTAGGGGGAAGAGGGAGAGAATGTCAGGGTGTGCTGGGGCTGTACCCAAATTAAGCCTACACCGCCCTTCCCCTGCCCTGCCCGCCCTGCGATGGAAAGTGGGGGCGCCTCACCTGCAGGGCTGGGGCCAGCACCAGGAGCCGGAGGAAAGCATGGGTCGGGGGCACTGGGCTGGCTTCTTGACCCACCGCAGTCACAGTCACCATCACCACGGAATCCGGGGCGGCTGAGTCCGGGACCTCCAGCCACAAGCGGCCCCAGGCGGACTCATTCTGTCCCAGGCGAACGCTGGAGAGTGGACCCAGAGGTCCGGCTGAGGTCTCAGGCAACTCGTAGCCGAGAGCCAGGGGCGGGGCCAGGGGCGGGGCGGGGAGGTGAGCACTCAGAGGGCCAATCGGAAGGGTTCGGGGGCGGGGCTTGGGATAGAGAGCGTGGGCCCTTGTATCAAAGCCAGACGGGCAGCGCGGGGAGAGCGGAAAGGTGTGGCCAGAGGGAGCTGGAGGGTTCGGGGGCCTCACCTGGACAGATTGGAGGTGAGGGCGAAGCTGGGGCTCACTGACGTCGTAAGGTCAAGATCCTGAGGGCCCGAGAAGCTGGAGATGCGGAGGTTGAGCGGGACCTTGCCACCTGGGGCCAAGAAACCTGGGGGGCCACTGAGCTGTGGAGAGGGGCCGGTCAGGGCCCCAGCTCTCTCCAGCCTCAGCCGCACCTTGCCCTTGCGTCTCACCTCCAGAAGGACGGGGACCACAGTGCAAGGCTGAGGGGCTGCCCTGTGCAGACGCCGCCCCGCTCCGTCCTGCCCAAGCAGCTCCAGGGAGAAGGGCCCAGGGGTGGACAGCAGCGTGGGCGGCAGCGAGGCCGCGAGGAGTCCTCGCTCCGGGGGTCCCACGGGCTCCAAAGGCACCCGGCCTAGTTCGGCGCCCTCCAGGACCCCTCGAAGGATGACGTGGGAGAAATGCGGCCAAGGATCCCCAGAGTTGCCTCTGGATCCCAACCCTGTCACTTCTACCAGCAGCTGGGTCTGGAGACCTGGGACAGGGGAAGGGAGGGGAACACAGTGGTCTGTGTGAGATTCAGAGACACGGCGGAAAAAGAATGAATGGCTTTCAGAGTAGGGCTTACATCTGAAAGGGAGACATGGATGGGGAAAGGGGTTCTTGAGGGGTGTTGGTGGGGAGCAGCAGGAGGGGGCCCAGGGTGTGGGAAACGTTCGGTATCTTGAACTGGGAATGGTTATATGGGTGTGTTATATGAAATGCACCAAGCAGTGTACTTTAGTGTACTTCGAGTAAATTATAACTCAATAAAAAAGGCATGTATACACATGCATATATGTATGTATACATATATATAAAACTAATGAGCTGGGGTGGGGAGGGTCGGGGAATGGACGTACCTGCAACTGGCTGAGTCAGGGAGTAGAGGCCAGGGTGGGGTCCATCCTCCATGGGGATCCCAAAGTGGAAGAGGAAGTCCAGGGAGGTCTGGGCTGGGAGAGACCAAAGGCAGTCAGAGACTGTCCCCAAAGGAATGTGACTGATGCTGCTCTCTGAGGTCTGCAGTCTCCCTTCCCTCTTCCCAGGAATACCTCCTTCCTTACCTTGCACTCTTACCCGGGGGGTCCCCTCAGCTATGACCTGGATCTCCCAGGTTCCTGTCTGTGGGGGGTCATTCATGGTCACCATCCAGAACTGCCCAAAATGGCGAGTGTGACCCAGAGGACCCACACCTTCCTCGTGGCCCTGGGAGATCCCTGGGGTCAGGGCAAGAGATTGTCACATGAAATGATTCCTTTCCCTTAGCACGCCCCCCGATTGTCCATCCCCCATTCTTCCCTCTGCCTTGACACGCAGGGAGGTACCTGCAGGGTTCTTGATCCAGAAACTGCTGATGTCGCCGTGGATCCGGACTGTGACCTTCTGGAGCAGCCCATCCACACTGAACACAAATGGCCTCCCAGACACCACAACAGGAGGGTCCAGTGGAAGAGTCACCTTGGGGGATGGGCAGGATCAAAAAATGAAGGAAAAGATAAGGTATGGAATGAGGTGGGAACAAAGACAGGAGAAAGGCGGAGACAGAAAGAAACCAACGCACATATGGAGAAGGGACACCAGTGAGAGAGGGGCCCAGGGCCAGGGATGGAGTTTTATGGTCAATGAGAAAGCTGGAGGCCAGGGATTCAAGATGAGGCAATCACGTCTTGTCCCCCCTTAAAAGATGGCAGGACTTTCTGTGGCAGCCCCGAGGGCAGAATACTGGAGGCCAAGGTTGGGGAGGGCTTTACTAATATGGAAGGACAACGTGGAAGGTGGGTAGCCATGGATCTCGGAGGGAGAGCAGCTTCCTTTCCCACCCCGGGGACCGGAATAGCAACACAGCAATGGGATCCATTGCCCCTTCTCCGACAAGAAGAGAGACACAGCGTTACCACCCTTTAGCTCTGAACTGAGGGCACCGGTCCCTGCGGCCCCACGTACTCACCAGGGCAGCCATGCTATCCCCAACAATGGCTGCCACGTCCCGAATGTGCTGGTCTTTGGTGAAGATCACCTCTCCTCCTGAGGCCAGGGCCACTGCTTCATATGGCTCAAAACGCAGGGGGGACAAGACCTCGCGCCGAGCTCGGGCCTGAACCCTCGATGGGTCTTCAGTCACCAGGAATGTTACCTATGGCCAGAAGAGAGCCCAGTGCTTGGGGTGTCCGAGTGCCATCTACTGTTAAAATGAGGATCCCAGTGCTCAAGCTTTCTTCAGAGCTTACGATTAGCAATAAGGTCTCTCTCTGTTTTCCCTCTGGCTGCTACAGCAGGGTCTTCCAGTGACACAACCCCCTGGTCTTCAGTTAGCCATTGGTCACCCCCTTGTAACTGTCAATACTTCGCAGTGGATTTTTGGCAACTAGATCTCCAGCTCTTCAAATGGTTTATGGGGCAGGTCCAAATATAAATTCAGCATCGCTAAGGGTAGGGCCTCCCACGTGTGAGTATTGTTAAGGGTATGAGAAAATGTTATGTTCGTTGTCTACTTCTCCCATCACACACCAAGGCTGGTTGGGCCACCATAGCGTGGTGCGACCCTTGTTCCGAGTTGTCGTCACAGGGTCTCCCACCTCCCTGGGTGGCTAACACTGAGTCTCCCACAGCTATGCTCACCCTGCAGCGCCGCTCCTGAGTGAGGGATTCCACCTGGTTGGTGAGAAAGGCATCCTTGGGGGAGGCATCCGTGAATACAAAGATATCTGAGAATGGAGGTGTGTGCAGCAGGGCCAGCTGGAGGAGAGGGAAAGGGCCAGTGTTAAAAGTGGCAATGGCAGGGGAATGGGTAGAGCCGGGGGACAGAGCAGAAAGGAATATGGCCCTGGAACCCTAAAGTGAAGCTAGTGAAACTATTAAATAGGTTCTAAAGGCAGAGGGGGACATAGTGGGAGGTGAAGAGCCCTAGGAAGGATCTAGCTCCCCCTAGCGGACACCCGAGGGATAAGCGGGGAAGGGGAAGGGAGGCGCCAGACCTGCAGGGCAGACAGGCACATCTCAGGCTCGTCGCCGCCCCCCAAGGCGTGGATCTCATTGAGTTGTTGCCAGAAGCTGTCAGGGTCACTGGTTGTAAAGACAGGGCCGAACCCTGGGGAGGGGGAAAGGAGGTTGAGATGAGTGAGGAAAGAGCTCCCCTCGTCCTCCCCAGGCCACCTCCCCAGTTGAGAGGCCTACTGTGCTCCTGTGTGTGGACAAGTAGTTTTTTTGGGGGCAAGCACAAACTTGAGGTTTCTTGAGGAGAGGAAGATAGGATTATAGAGCAAGAGCAAGGTACAGGTCTACAGAGTGGGATGCACACACCACAGACGACAGACCCACTGTCGCTGGTACCCAGAAGAGGCTCACTCAGGACCACAGGAAGTGCTCCAGTTTTGTTTAGAAAGTGCAGTCACAAGGCCCACTTCCTCATCAGAGGCCTTTATCCCCTGCCCTGGACTTCCCTTCCCTCCGCTGTCCTGGCCAGACCGCAGCTACCTGGGTCATGGAAAGGCACCAGGACATAGTGGGCAGGCTCCATGGGGCTGCCGCGCCGCTGCTCCACGATGCGGCGAGCCTGGATTTTGGCAGCGTTGATCTCCTCGCCCATACTGCCTGTGGTGTCCAGGACGAAGCTCAGGCTGGAGGCTGGGGTGATGTCCAGCAGCCTGGGGGGCAGGCCAGAGGCACAGTGAAGGGTCTGGACATCCGTCCCCAGCCCCTGGTTTCTCAGCTCCCCCAGGAGCACCTACTCATCTGTAGGAGGCCGCTCACCTGGAGAAACCCCTGTCTCCTAGGCGGCTTCGCAGCAGGCTGAAGGCCTGGATGGAGGCCAGAAGGGCCAGTTTTGCAGCCTGGAGGTGCAGCATGTGGTGGGGGGAGAAGCCTGGGGATGTGCTATCCTTGTTGATGCCTCCCCGGGGCGGCTGGGAGCTGCTCCGGTCAAAATGGCCCCCGTGGCTACATTTCCCTGGTATGGGGACAGGGGTCTGGAGAGCGGGAGGCCAAAAGCCCACTGCCTTCGATGCAACTGAGGCTCTTTCTGACCTGGCCTGTCCCTCTCACCCCTCGGCAAAGGAGCAGCAGAAAATGATGACACTGTGGAGGGCAGTCATTACAGCACATGGTGGACCCCTGGTCCGCCAGCCAGGCCCCAAAGCCGCCCACAGCAGTGGAGAAGTCCTATCGGCTGAGCCAGAAGCTGCCCCCGCCCCAGCGCTCAGGCCCCTCAGCGGGCCTTCCTCCACCCGCCTCTAGGAAGGGGTGCCCCGGGAAATGGGACACGGCCTACAGGACCGAGGTCCTGCGTGGGATCGAAGGCAGTGACTTTCTCCCCTTCCTTCTGGGGGGCTTTCCTGCCTGGTACCTGGAGGTTTGGGGGGATGAGTTCCAAAGTAGCCGGAGGTGAGCCTCGTGAAGCCCCGCCAATTTCCCGGGCAGCTCAAGCCCTCGCAATCGGAGCAGGTAGGGTCGCCCACTGGGGAGAGAGGGCAGGTGGCTGGAATCCGAGACTCTGCTACCCTGGCCTTTGTCCCTGTGCATTGTCCCTGTCCACCCAAACCTCTTCAGCTTTTCCTCCCCCTGGGACAGGGCGAGAGCCCGTGGGCTCCCTGGCAAGCTTTCTGAACCAAAACCTAGGATTCATGGGCTGGTGGCGAGACTGAATACTTGCGACTGGGACTGAGCTAGAAAACCAGGGAAGGTGGGGCCCAGTCCTACGGGGACTGTGGACAGGATGCGACCCTATAATGGACGGGGCAGCTTCTGGTCCTAGTTCGGTCGGGAGGATGAGGCGACTGTGAGAGAAGGCCCGTGTGAGCCAGTGTGGGGGAAGCCGCACGAAAGGCTGGACTAAGGTCTGGAGACCTGGTCCTGCTGCTCTCCCCTGTGTGACCTTGGGGAAGCCACTTAACTGCCCTGGCCTTTGGTTGGACTGGGGCATCTCACAGTCCTTGCAGAGATAACCTATGTGACCTCAGGATGTGACACGGTGGCTGGGTGGGCTGAGGAGGCGGCTCTGTGGCCTCACCCCACCACTGGGGTCGTGGCCGTACCTTGCGCCAGGCTCCGGAGCTCCGGCCGGGGCCAGAGGAGGTGCGGGTGTGGCTGCTGCTCGCCCAGTTCCACCCAGTTGCTGTGACTGTAGAAATCCTGGTCCCGGGACAGGAGAGGGGGACAGGCACTAGTCTGACTGTTCTCACCATCTCCTGCCCTGACGTGCCTCCAAGTTCCCCACCCAGAAAGTCTCCTCCCAGCCCCGCCGCTCCTGCCAGCCACCCCACGTCCCCTCTGCTGCCCTCTGCTCTGCGCCGAGCAGAACTTTGCCAAGTGGGAATGTCCCAGTGTCTATGCCCACTTCACTCAGAGTCTAATCGAAGGCCTCTCAGTGGTTGCAGGGCCCTGCACCAAGTACTGCTCCCCTCTCCTCCCCTCTCCCCGACTTCCTCCCTCCTTGCTCACTCTCCCCATCTCCAGCCACAGCACCCTCCTTGCCGTTCCCACGGGAGGCACTGCCGGTGGAGGTGGGGAGCTGGGACACAGCCTCGAGGCCCTGGCAAGCAGCGCAGACCCTCTCGGAGGAGGGGCACAATTCGGGCTTCCATCCCAGACAGGAGACTGGAGGTGAAGGCCCCTCTGACCATTGCCCCAACTCTGTTGTCACCTGCAAGGCATGAAGTGCAGCCCCAAGGCGCTGGCGGGCCAGGCTGTGGTCAAGGGCTCTGGCTGCCACCAGGGTCTCCCGCAGAGCCCCCACCAGGCGTGTGCGTCCCTGGCCCAGTCGCTCAGCATCAAAGTGCAGGTCAGGGTCATCCCTGGAAGTGGGCAGGAAATCCTGGGCTGCATTGGCACGAGACACCTCGCCTAAGGCTGCTCGGAAGCGCCGAGAAGGAGACCCGGGTCCAAAGTAGGCGGCAAAGAGGTCGTCGGCAAGGAGGGTCCTGCCCTGGAGAGAATGGGGGGGACAAGGGCTCCAGGGAAGCCCCTTGGATTGGACTGTCGCTGGCACCATCTCAGCAACTGCGCTGGAGGCTGCGCGTGGGCAGAACCGAGGACGCTGAGCTGTGCCAGGGAGGGCAGTCCTGGCCCTTTCTAAGTGGGGACTCCTGAGCTCAGAGCCAGGACCACTGAGTATTGCTGCTGCCGGAGTGGGGGTGGTGAGCAGGTGGGGCAGTGCGTGTCCCTTCTCTTGGCAACTGGAGCCCTCAAGGAGGTTCCAGGGAATTGGGGAATCTGGCATGGAAGTGACAGGACCCAGGGATGCTCACCAGGAAGTCCTCAAGACGCAGGAGGGGCCGGCCGGGGGGTGGCTGCTCCAGGAAGAGCTGCAGGGTGACGTTGAGCGCTGCCTCTTCAGTCAGGTCCTGGTGGGTGATGGAGCCGGGGGCAGCCAGCAGGCTCCAGATGTTGGGGAAGAAGGCAGATGTGGGGGGCAGCAGCAGCTGCAGCAGAAGCAGCACTGAGGGGCCCAGGAGGGGTGGGGGCACGTCTGCGCAGAGCATGGCCGAGGCATGGACCTGGGAGACAGAAGGCTCTTGAGGGAGGAAGCAGCAGCGACTCCGGGGCAGGCCCCACTCCGCCCCTCTCCACGGGCGCCTGCTTTGCCTCAAACACCTCGTCTGCTCCGGCCTGGCTTCCCTGCCCCCGCTCAGTTACCCAGACTGCCCGGGCCCTTCTCAGGCCAACAGGGACGTGCACCTGCCAGGAGTGGGGTCCAAGGCTCCTCCCCCAGGATCCCCTTCCCAGCCCCAGGCCGAGTCCCCAGCCCTGCCCCGGGACACCTGTCCCCCCACGCACAGGAAGTCTGAGTCTCTGCTCCGGAGCCTCTCCCTACCTGGTTGCTCGGTCTCCTGGGCAGGGCTGGCCCGGGCGTGGTGGCACAGGGCACTTAGGTCAGAGTTATAATTAACTGGGACTCAATGGAGGGGGAGGGAGGCCCCAGCAGGGTGGGGGCAGGACAGGCAACCCCTGGCCCCTCTGCTCTTGCCTGCCCAAGGCCACAGGCAGCAGCCGGTGCCAGGGTGGACCTCCCTGGCCGCAGTGCGGTGAATGAAAGCTGGGGAGGAAGGCAGTGAGCAGCATGACTCAGGCCTGGCACGGTGCCAGGGACAGACCCAGACGCACCCCAGGACCAGGGCCTCACTCTTAGCCTGCAGCCCCCACACTGCTCATACAGGCAGCCTCCAAGGACTCAGGAACCCAGCCCTCTGCACCCCTTCCCATCCCCACTGCAGACACAGACATGATTTTGCGGCAAAATATTTTATTGTTGCCATCCCCATGGTGGACCGCTGGGGGCTATGAGGGCTGAAGCTGGGTGGATCACAGCATCTTCTGAAATAGGGCGATGGCCTCGTCCACCTTCCTGAGCTCTGCTTCCGTCTGCTGGAGCTGGAACAGGGGGCCAGGGGTGGTGGTGAGGACCCAGGCCCAAACAGGAGACCCTCAAACACCCAGGATGGCAAAGTTGGAAAGATGGGTGAGGCCCGTGAGAGGGGAGGAGTTTGGGGGATGTGTGCTTGGCTGGACCCGCACCCCCTAATTCTGACCAGCCTTCCCACCAGCAACACCCCCTCTCTTCCACCATGACCCAGCCTCTTGGGTCTTGCTTTTCCCAGAGTGGTCAGTCCCCAAGGACAAAGGGGCCTCAATTTCATTGTAAGAATGTACAAGAAAAAAACAAAAATTAAAAAAGAAGGGGCCTCAGAGCCCATGTGCCCTGCCCCGTGCCCGACCAGGGCAGCAGAGCACAGAGCCCCGGGCAGGCCACTCAGCCTTCCTGTGTAAAATGAAGCGACACCACTCGAGGGCTACTGGGGAGCCACGACCACTCAAGGCTCTCGCTCTGGGCGTCCGTGCCTGTTTCCCTGTGTTCCTGCACTTCACCCCACTCTCCTCCCTGGAGGAGCCCAGGAGGCTGGGGCCTGCGGGGCAGGGGGCACGAGGAGGCCAGCCCCGTCTTCCAGGGCCCGCCCAGCGGGCTGGGAAGGGAGCGCTGGAGCCAGGGCTCCTGACTGTCATGTGGGTTTCCGTGTTCCAGGCAGCTGGGTGGGCTATGAGGGGTCTGGCTGGGAGGCGGGATGCCTGGGTCCAGGTTGGCTTCTGTCTCCAACCTGTCATGTGACTCTGGGCTGTGTCCCCACGCCCGGCTATTCCCACGTGGGGGCGGTGAGGGCAGGGCGTTGCATGGTTCCTGCTCAAGAGGCCTGGGCTCCCTGCTCCCCACGGACACCCCAGGGCTCAGTACGGGGTCCAGCTTCCAGACCAGGGTTTTGATGGAGGCGGCGGATGGTGTGGGAAATGCCCCTCACACCACACACCTTGGCTTCGTCTGCCTCCTGGACTTCGAGGGGCACCTTGACCGGGTAGCCGGAGGCAGCGCGGCGCTCCCGCAGACGCTGGGCCTGCCGCTGCGCCTCACCTCGCTTGGCCTGCAGCTTGCCCAGCTCCCGGGCCGGGTCCACCAGTCCCTGCAGCTGCAGGTGGATGGAGCAGCGGTCAGAGGCCAGGGCCACGGCGCAGCCCTGCGGTGCAGGAGCCCCCAGGGCCAGGACAGCCACCACACCCGCGCTGGCCAGCGCCTGCACGTAGCCCGACACAGCCGATGCCAGGGCGCCTGTGGCCTCGTCAGCCACTTCCAGGAAACCTGCCGGGTAGGGAGGAAGGTGAGGCCTGGGCCCAAGGAGGCGGGAGACTAGGCAGCCACAGCCGGATACTGGGTCCCAGAGCGGGCTGAGGGGACAGTGGGACGGGTGGACGTGGGGGCCTGAGGCTCACAGTCGGGCCGGATGCGGGTGAGGTTGTAGTCGGCACGCAGGGAGCGTACGGCTCGAGTGATGCTTAGTGCCAGCTCAAGGGCGGCTTCCGCCTCAGGGTCCTTCCAGGAGCACTGTGGGGTGGAGGACGGGGTGAGGGGGCCTGGGAGGGCAGGCCAGAGTCCCCCCTCCAGGCCGTGCCCCATACCTCCGAGGGCTCCGGGTAGGGGGTAACGCAGAGGCTAGGGGGAGCTTGCGGAGTCCTGCGAGGCAGCCTCTGGAACAGCTCCTCCGTCACAAAGGGCATGAAGGGCGACAGCAGCCGCAAGCCGACATCCAGGCAGGTGTAGAGGGTCTGGCGGGCACACTCAGCCGCCACCTGGTCCACCCCATTTAGTACGGGTTTTAAGCACTCCTAGGGCACAGAGGCACAGGGCTCAGGACTGGAGGTCTAGCCTCAGCCCTCAGTGAGCCTGTGAGGACCAGGAAGGGACGGGTTGGCTCAGGGCTCACGGCCAACCTCAGCAAAGCTGGGCCCAGGGCTCCGCCATCCTCTCTCGGACCCCTCCTCTCGCCTGCTTCTCACCAAGTAGACGTCACAGAGCTCGTAGAGCCAGAAGCTGTACTGGGCAGTGGTGACGGCTGGGAAGTCGTAGGCCTGGAAGCCTTGGTTGCTGAGCCGCACAGCCTCGGTCAGCCGGCTGAGGATCCAGCGGTCCACCAGGCTCTCGCGGCCTCCAGGCTGGGGAGAGGGGGGCATCAGCCAGCGGGCCCTGGGGAGGGGCCGGGAACCGTGGGCGAGTTCGCACCAGGAGTCTGATGGGGTCCAAAGTAACCGAGCACGTGCCCTGTATCAGGGGACGAGGGACAGGCCGCCCAGCCACCTTGGGGAGGACCCCCATGCCCTGGGCTTTCCCTGTGTCTGTCCCTCCAGCTACATGGAGGCCCTACAGGGCAGGGGAGCAGCCTGTGTGGGTGCTGCCAACCTTGCCACCCACCAGGCCTTACCTTGGAGGTGAGTGAGGGCACGAAATCCTTCCCAAGGCCACGCAGGGCAAACTTGGTGGCATTCCAGAGCTTGTTGCAGAAGTGGCGGTAACCCAATATCCGGTTCACGTCCAGGTTGATGTCGCGACCTGGGTGGGAGTGAAGCGCACCGTTGCTGCTGTCAGCCCACGCCCGCCGGAGGCCCAGCGTGGAGGAGAGGGGTGGGCCCCATGGGAGGTTTGGGGGCCATACCCTGGGACGTGTAGGCGCACAGCCCAAACCGGAGAGCATCGGTGCCACACTCAGGAATCCCCGCTGGGAAGTCCGCCTTCTGTAGGGAGGAGGCAGGGCGGGAATGTCCTCAGCCAGCCCCCCGACCTTCTGCTCACCTTCCACCCAGTCCAACCCTCCGTACCTGCCCTTCTTTAGCCTTCTCCACCTCGCTGGGATCCAGGTTGCTGTTCAGTAACTGGTCATGGAGGCCCTGAGGGTGGAGGTGGGAGTGGTCAGGTGGCCATGGCCACGGCCCCATAGCCCTTCCAGGCTGGCCCAGTGTCCGGCCCCACCTGCAGGGAGACTCCGTGGATGACGTCTAGGGGGTCGATGACGTTGCCTAGAGACTTGCTCATCTTCCGGCCATGAGCGTCCCGCACGATGGCATGGAGGTAGACCTGCAGGGCAGGCGGGGCAAGGCCCGTGGGGCTGAGTCTCCTCCTTCCCTGGCCTCGGTGCCCCTCAACCAGGGCCCCACATCCGGCCTACCCCGCTCTGAACCGCAGGCCCCGTCCAGTGTCCACACCAGCCCGTTTGGCCCCTGTATGTGAACCAGAAGTGCTATCCGCTCTGGGAAGACACACCTCCGAGCCAGGGCACGGAAGTCACTGTGGAGTGGGGCTGGCTGCCCACAGCCAGCCACAGGCCTGCCCCATGCCCACCCGTGCTGAGGCCGAGCTGCAGTGGGGGCAGGTGAGGGGGTCTCGGCTGTGTTCGCACCTCTCTGAAGGGCAGCCTGCCGGTGAGCTTCAGGCCGAGCATGACCATCCTGGCCACCCAGAAGAAGAGGATGTCGTGGCCTGTCTCCAGCAGTGTCCCCGGGTAGAACACACTCAGGTCTTCCGACTAGGGGCAGATCAGGTGTGAAGGAGAGCCTAGACCCACCTTCAAGGCCCCCACGCCCCCCAGCCTGGCCCCAGAACCCACCTGGTTGGGCCACCCCAAGATAGAGAAGGGGAAGAGGCCGGAAGAGAACCAGGTGTCCAATACGTCCTCGTCTGAGGGAGGCCAAAGGTCAGAGGTTAGATGGGGTGGAGCGAAGGTGAGAGCCCCAGCTCTGCCCCTCCCCATGCCCAAGGCCCTGCCTTGCCTTGCTGGAGACTGATCTTGTCGGGGGACACTCCAAAATTCTTGGCTGCTTTCTCCCGGGCCTCCTCCTCGTCGCGTCCGCTCACCCAGTACCGCTCGTCAGGGTCCTGCCACGGTAGCGTGAGTGCCGAGGGGTGCCTCATCTCTGCCTTGCCCTGCCCCCTACCCCTACCAAGGACCCAGTAAACCCAAAGCTCCCTGAGATGTCCCAGTATCCAGCTCTGGCCCTGTCCTCACCTCCCCAGGGGGTACCGCTGGGTCGCTGACGGTGATGAAGTAGGCTGGGATGCGATGGCCCCACCATAGCTGCCGGGAAATGCACCAGTCCCTGCAAATGTGGGGGTGGGGGGGTCACGGAGGGCCTGTGCCCTGTTCAGCCCCTAGCCCAGGCCCCTCCTACACAGAGGGGCCCTACGCACCGGATGTTGTCCATCCAGGCATGCCATGTCCGTTGGTGGGCCTCAGGCAAGATGCAGAGGTCACCCCGGGTGACAGCAGCGCTGGCGGCCTGGGCCATCTCCCCACAGCGCACGTACCACTGTGGCCGCAGCAGAGGCTCCACCACATCCTTAGACCGGCTGGAGTACACGTGGGGTGGGGGGTCAGGTGGTGAACCCTTGAGGAGCACCCCCGCCCCCGCCTCGCCACCCTCCCTGGCCCCCACCCTACTTGCACAGTGGCACCACCATGGGGTTGTCCTCGATGCCACGAAACAGTCCCCGATCTTTCAGTGCTGCCAGCACTGCTTTCCTGGCCTCAAACCTGGGCAGGCCCTGGGTAGGAAAGAGGTCTTGTCATGGCGATGCCTAGGTGCCCTCCATCTCCCCTGACCCCAGGCCCCACCCCCCAGCCCGCCTCACCAGGAAGGGCGGGGGCACGTTGACAAGGGCCCCACGGGCGTCCATGATGCTCACGGCCTCCAGCCCGTGCCGCTGCCCAACC